CACACACACACACACACACACACACACACACACACACACACACACACACAAATGGGTAACTAGCTTCCTCGTCACCAAACTTTACCTGTCTCCTTCAGCAACTATGCCATCTCTGCAGATGAACATGGCCTCCCATCCCTTTGCCTCTCTGACTGCAGTAACTATCACCCCCAGCCCCTTCTATCACCTCCTTCCTCACGTATGTTCTCACTTCAAACCCAAGTCTCCAAGTCCTTACTCTCCTTTTCTATGTTTAGTCCCTGGAGCCCTTTCTCCTCTTAGGCAGATTGTTCTTGCCATTTGTCACTCATTCTAGCTCCTTCTTTGAGGAAGTCCCTTGCCTCTCAATCTTTCCAGCTGTGTGCATGGACAGCCTGCCCACATGTCCTCCCATGCTCACACATGCAGGCTGCAAATGGAATGGAGATACTTAAGAGCCATGTGCTCTCACCTGGGCCACTCTCAGTGCTTGGGGCTCTCTCGCCTCTGGAACAGTCAGCACGCTCCCCACCCCATGCCCCTTTGTCTCCATTCTTCCAGATGATCAGCCACAGGTCTCATACTGTGCCTCTCGGCTGCCTACAGCTGTGTCTCCCTATGACAGCTGGCAGGACTTCCCTTTCCCATCTCATCTAGGCCTTTGTCACACAGACCCTGCTTCTCCTCACCTTTGGCTTTCTCTGGCATCCTGGCCCCTCTGTCCTCCCTCATCTGCAGCACTGCTGTGGCTGCATCATCTACTCCTGTTCTATCATAGATGCTCTGCCTTGCCGTGTGCCTGTGGCTAAGACCCATGGGCTCTCTACATCTCACCTCAGGTTGCCTGAGCACTCCTTCACTCCTCAAGTGCACTTCCAGATTCTACCCTCTGTCAAGTTCTCCCACTCTCAGATCCCCTTACCCAGTATCCTTTGCAAACCTCACCCTCTGCCCATGACAAATGTCAGCAGTCCTCGGTTCTCAAGTCCCCTTGAACACACTGCGGCCCTCACACTCGGAAGCCTTACCTTCCTTTAACCAGGTGCCTTGAGCCACAGCACTTTCTCTCTGAAGCTAAAGGATCATTTCCTCTCAGTTGAATACAGTTTCTCATTTAATCTTCAAAACCCACGTGGGATGATCCCTGAGGAAGATGAGTGAAGAAGCCAGAAGCCGGTCCAATATCCCACAGCTATCAAGCCATGTCTAAGGCTGACATCCAGCTGTGTCCCTGCACATACTTCAGAGCAGCTCTGAGCCCCCAAATCTAATGCAAGTGCATGTATGTGTACTTTCAGATGTGCTACTGTCAGATCCTCTCAGTATCACAAAGAGCAGGGTAACCTCTATGGCACAGGGACACATCGCAGACCTTGGATGAACCTGGCTAAGTTCTAACATCCTGTTGCTGTATGAGAAAATCCTGAGACATTCAGATCCCACAGAGGAGCAGACAGGCTACGCCTCTCACTTGCCACTGGGTTTCTGGTTTGGTCCCAGAATCCCAAATGCTCCAGCAGCTTCCTTCTAGCCTTCTGACCTCCAGGCTTTCCGTGCAGCCTCTGAATCATCTGCAGCCCGTTCTCTGCCAGATGCCACTCTCTGTTACCCTAACGACAGCTCCTTAAAGTCGGTGCTGCTGACAGTCCTAGGTGCTTCTAAGGTCGGGAGCTACTAGCTCTTATCAGAGTCTAACGAGGTGTCTTGTCCTCATGCGGCTCAGTTCTACCCAAAAGAAGGTCAATGAGCGCATCCAAAGAGAGCAGCCCCAGCCAGCAGTGGGCCAAGGCTGACCTCGGGCCAGTCTTCAAGCCAGAGCTCCCAGGCTGTGTCCAGAAGCTGCTGGCTCTCTATGAGCCTGCATTTCCTGGAGCATAATGTTTGAGAAAACATGGCTTGACTGCTGGCTCACACCACTTGGTCTGGGATGGACACAATACAACTGTTTGCCACATGGGTTGTACTGCCTTTGCCAAGCTGACCTGGCACCCCTGTGTAAAGCAGATTACAGAGTCCCCAAGGATTCATCCTCTGTGAGTTCCATCGCTGGCCCAAGGTGGGGGATAGGTTGGCTCCCAATCAAAGATTTTTGTTAAGGAAACTATGAATCTGACAGTGTGCACACATCTGGCTTTTTCTTCTCCTCTTCCTCCTCCTCCCCCTCTTCCCCTTATTCGTCATCTTCTTTTTGTTTTGTTTTGTTTTTTTTTCTGTGTGTGTGTGTTTTGTTTTGCTTTGCTTTTAAGACAGGGTTTCTCCATGTAGCTCCGACTGTCCTAGAACTTGCTCTGTAGATCAGGGTGGCCTTGAACTCAGAGGTCCACCTGCCTCTGCCTGCCAAGTGCTAGGATCAAAGGTGTGTGCCACTACACTGGGCTTTTTTTTTTTTTTAAAGGGTAAGCTCAGTTTGATAGGAAAAGATTTACAGTATGAAGAGAAATACTTCTCTATTCAAACAGACTGTGCAGCCCTCCCAGCACAGAGGCAGTTATGTTGTGCTCGGCTCTTATCGTGCCTCCACAAACAAACAAACAAACAAACAAACAAAGCATGCCCGCCCCAGCCTTGATCTCAAACTATAAGCCAGTGCTTGTCCGAGACTCCTGTTGCCCATGGATGGATGGGGAAGCACAGAAGGCTAAGAGGCTGAGAAACAGTGATGTACAGGGCCAGGCATTTCCAAGAGAGAAGGCCCAGATGAAACCAAGACTCCAAGGGAATGTGGGCCCCAGAACTCAGAGGGCCAGCCATACAATTATGTAACCTTTAGGTCACTGGCCTCACTGGAAAGAAGAAAAACAAAAAAAAAAAACTGAGAAGAATCTTGTGTGGAGGTCTGGTTTGTGCAAAGGGAGCCATGAGAGAGCTTACTATCAAAGCATAGCACTGGAGGGTCTTGGGGGGAAAGCAGAAGCACTGGCCCCGTCAGTTGGTCCATTTGCCTCTGAGCTTCTCATTTGTTCCCGTGAGCCTAAATCTACACTGCAGGAAGAGGTGGCTCTTCATACTTGAAGCCAGAGTTCTGACAGGACCAAGTCAGACTGCAGCATGTGGGTCCAGGTGGGTCAGAATACGAGGAAGTACACCTCAAGCAGGTCTCCTAAGCTCCCACTCACTGCTTCACGCGTGTGTACTGAGGGTCCTTTACATAGGAACCTGACACTGATGAGATGGTAGGCTTGATGATGAACAGGACAGACAAGTCCTCACAGAGAACACAGAACACACAAACACATACCGTTAAACTGGGGACTACATAGAGAAAAACAAAAATGGTTGCAATGAGGTGCTTGATGGGTGCTCCTATAGAAGTGACACAGGAGTTAAAACAGGAAGGAAGAGTCCTGGGCCAAGAGCACAGGACACGAGACAGAGGTATGGCAGAGAGGGCAGATCCGGGGACTGGAGCCTGGAGAAGAAAGGAGGCAGAGAAGTGAGACTAGATCCCCGACCCAACCAAGCAGAACCTGAGCTCCTGTGGAGTGGCTGCAGCACAGGAGAGTCCGCCTTACTCACTTTCTGAACCACACTGGATAGCAGTGGGCAGTCAGGAAACCAAACTGGGACCCAGGGCCAGGAGGCTGGGATTGGTCCCTGAAGGGCTTCCAGCACAGTGGGCTGCCATGAGGACAGACACTCCAGGGAGACTGCTTACCTGGTTGAACCTCCGAGTAAAGGCCACGACATTCGGGGCAAGACTGTGTTTCTCCTTTTTACTCCACCCGCAGCTGGCCAATTCCTGGGAAGCAGAGTCAACAGAATTCAGTCAGGATGCAAAGCCACAGGGCATGTGCCTGTGAGCACAGAGGTGGGCAGTGATGCCACGCTGGCTATGCCCAAGCTCACTGGGGAGGGGAGGTGCCATGTCTGCAGGTGACAGTGCAGCAGCCCGCTAAGAGGAAAGGCAGAAACACAGAGTACTCTCCCACCGCTGTACCCCATTTCCCAAGATTTCTCTGCCAAAATATTTACTACTGTCACTCTGCCAGTTTCTCTGGGATGAAGATACTTTGTACAGTGCAAATTGTCTGAGAGGGGGTGTCAATGCTTAAACCAGCAGGACTCACCCCATCCTGGATATGGCTCCAGGGCTCCAGGCTAGCTTGAAATTAAAATCTAGCTGAGGAATCTCAAATTTTATTGGTCACACAACATCCTTCATTCTTGCAATCAAGCAACTAGAGATGCCCCTGGGATTATACCTGGGGTTCCTTCCTGAAGCTATCCTCCCATTTTTTTATACAGAGAACAGGACAGAAAAGTACCACCAGTGCAGAAGCATGTGTCCAATCTCCCAGAAGGCTTAGCAGTATGATTTGATAAGTCAAAGTAGCTAAGTTTTGCCTGTCAGCAAAGGTGGCTCCTGTTTGGATGACAGAAGCCATCGTGTGGGGGTCCTGTCAAGGCAGGCAAGCACAGGGTCTAGTCTATCAATGTCAGACTCTATTTGGCACGGGTTGTACACATGCCCCTCTCCTAACACTGCACGTGAGACACCTCACACCTGCATGTGCTGTACACATACCCTTCTCTGACCAAGCCACCTAGCCGCCTGTTCGCAAGCCAGAATGGCCACCTCTACTGAGCTACAAACATTCCCCTCTTAGAACAATGGAGTAAGTTTCTCCTGCCATTTAATGACCATTAGACAGAGAGATTGTATTAAACCACACTTCAATTATATCCAGGCATAAGGCTGGGGCCCAATCCAGCCTAAATTTGTTTGAGTTCCTAAACAATAAGGCAAACTGTATCCTTGGAGTGAACTTTTGGGGAGGATGCCTTATTTACCATCCCATGCCTGTACATAACTAGGCACACACATGATTAAAATCAGATGCATCATGGGAAAAGATACATACAGTGCATGAAAGTTTACGAGCCAGGCAGTGGTGGCGCACGCCTTTATTCCCAGCACATGGGAGGCAGAGGTAGGTGGATCTCTGAGTTCGAGGCCAGCCTGGTCTACAGAGTGAGTTCCAGGACAGCCAGGGCTATACAGAGAAACCCTGTCTCAAGAAACTAAAAAGAAAAAAGAAAAAGAAAAAAAAGAAAGAACGAAAGTTTACATAATTCAAGCTTACCAATCAAGTCAGAGAACCACCATGCTACAACTCTTAGCAACCATATTCCTTTTCTTGAACCCCAACAATAATCAGGGACCTTGCGTTCCCTACTCACGTGGCCGCTACCACTCTTGGCAGCGTGTTTCTTCCTGACATCCACTATTACTTTGCTCTACATAAAATTTTTTTGTCACTTTTGCAATCTGTGTGAATAAGAGGCCAAGAACCCAGGAACCACCACGACGATTCGGAGGCTATAAGAAGACCAAGGCACGGCCATCAAAGGCCCAGGACCCCAACCTGTGCTGTAGGGTGTTCTGACAGAGAGGAGGGGAGAAACATTCTCTATCTAGACTTCTAAGATCTGCTGATTCCAACCAGGCCTCCACCATATTAGCCACTTTTTAAAAATTATACACCTAGAACATTTTAAGATCTTCAGTGAGAATCAGCTGCCAATGAGCTGGAACAAACATGGAAGCTGGGGTTGGAAGAATAGAAACAGTAAAAGAAAAAAAAATTGTTGGCTGGACAGTTACAGCTGAAGCAAATACTCATCAGGGTATCTCAGGACCCAGTGATGAGTCCCAGCAGGCACATGTGGGAAGTTAGCTATAACCAAACTGTAGCCTGTGTGACTGAAAAATGAACTGCCTGGACATGGACACACATGAAGACCAATCAAGAGCCGAGATACACCTCTTCCTGGCTGTCTCACATCTGTAAACAACCACTGTCACCCCCACAAGGACAGTGAGTCAGGACCTGGTCAAGTCTTTCTCAACTTCACAGTTTTAGATCCCAAGTCTGAAAACAATATCAACTAAGACTAGCATCTGACAGATGCCACTGGAGTAGATGTGCAGGTAGTGCCCACCCAGGCAGCACCCCCACAGGCAGTCCACACACAGGCCCTTCATGCAGGTTTTCTCATAAAAACCACTATCACATCCTATTTTAATTGGGGCTAAGCAGTCATTCTCCTGAATGAATGCCATGACTCTACTTCTCAAAATCACACCGAAATGAATCTCTTGGTGCCATAGGGTTTACCTGTTTGCTGTCTGCACCTTATCTGAAATGTGTACCTGGATCCATTTCCAGTGCACAGGTCATCTGCCTCAATGAAATTTACTTCCATTGTGTGGCACATACCGTTAAGCATACTATAGAGGGATTTTAATCCAGCAGCATGGCTGTTCTGGCAAAGGATCATATCCAGGGACCTTCTGGGTCTAAGTGATCCGGCTGGAATGCAGACATGCTCTGGATTACAGTGTGATCTGCCTGGAATACAGACACACCCTTAGCATACACCATTAACAATGAAGGCAAGGCCACGTGAGGAAGCAGCAATGTTTGAAAGTGACATCTAGAGGCAGACAGAGTTACGAATCAGGAAAAGATTTGATAGAACGAGTCAAGAGATAGACGAGTCACGATATGCCCGACTCACACAGGAACAGACTCACACAGGAACAGCAGGAGGAAGGGCTGCTTAAGAGCAAGGAGAGAGAAAAAGGGCAGTATGCTATATGGTGGGTAGTATGTGTACATGGCAGTTTTACCAGGACAGTTTTACAGAAACAGGTTACAGAGAGAAAAAACTAGACACAGGTGAAGATAGAACAAGCCAGAGAATGAGAAGAAGCCTGAAGACTAGAACATATTGTCAAAGTTAGTATGAGGCCAGGCAGAGCAATTCAGTCAGAGGCCAAGAAAAGCTGAATTGAATCAGCTTGGAAAGTTGTTTGAGCCAGAACAGCAGAGTTAAACCAGCCAGCCAGCCAGAGTTCAGAAAGATCTAAAAAGGGAGAGCTCATTGCAGTAAGCATCTGAGATGACAATTACATCTGGCAAATAAAAGTTACTTTTACAGCACATATTATATTACTGCCCTGCTACATTCCTGGGAACCCCAGTCAATGCTGAGAAACTGCAGATTTTAATCAAATATAAAACTTGTGCATTTAAACACTGTTCAGGAATTAGACTGCTTAATGTCTAATCTCTGATGTGTTTCCCTCCATGTTTTCCTGCATTCAAAACTAAACAGCAGTAGCAGTAAGTGTGTGTATCCTGGCAAGGGTGCATGTGCATATGCATAGGTATATGTGTGTTTAATTCAGACTCCATCTTCTTACTTCTGCACCATGACAATGTGGGATGACATCTGGAAGGGAGGTAGTACAGAACCAGCCCTGATCCTGGCTGTCCATACCCCAGTGGCATGGTGTCTCTGTAGAATTTCTACTGTCACGGGATATAGGAACATGGAATGCCTAGGCCATGTGGGCACTTGACACAGCTATCTTCCCCAGGGGTGGGGTACACACCACAGTGAGGGTAGCAGGTCCTCTGCTCAGCACCAGCTCTAACACCAAGTGCTTCCTTCCCTCTCCGCTCCCACTACTGTTTTGAAATGGCTTCTATTTCTCTTTTCACCTGTGTCATACAAGCACTAGTCAAGGAAAGTACTTTACACAACTACTATGAATTGACTGTTTGAATATCTCTGAGGCCTTGGTTTGAGCGCTGGTGTTTGGTGGGGGTGGGGACCTGGCAGTTCTCTAGGGAGACTTGTGCAGCAGGAGACAGGAGACCTTTCACATTAAAACCTCATGGGACTGGAAAGATGGCTCAGTGGTTAAGAGCACTGATTGCTTTTCCAGAGGTCTTGAGTTCAATTCCCAGCAACAATATGGTGGCTCCCAACCACCTATAATGGGATCTGATGCCCTCTTCTGGCATGCAGGTGTACATGCAGACAGCATTCATACATAAAACAAATAAATACATCTTTTTAAAAACTTTAAAACCTCCACTATGTCTGAGAGGCTCAGCCTGTACTGAGCAAAAAACGTCAAGCAGAAAGGCCTTACTCTGAATCCCAGCCCTGCCATCCTGTCACCAGGGTCCTAGGCATCGGTTCCATCCCTAGGATCATGTGGATGTTGTCAATCTCCCTGAGCTGTAGTTGGGAGAGCAGGAGGAAGATTCTGGAGCAGGGTGGTGACATACTGGGCATGCGCCTGGTCTACAGCATGTACCTCAGTGTCTTTTGAGGAGATGAGGTCGAGGTCCAGTCCTTGGCACTGGAACCTCCCAACCTCATCACAGAAAGATTTATCAAGATGTCAGACGGAATCAGCCCATTCTATCTACACTAAGCCACTCTCTAGGCCAACCTCCTTGGCGCTCTTTCTCTTGTGTGTTTGGCCTTACAGGATTACAAGAGATTCCATCTGTGTAAAGTGCAGTTGGAAAATGTGAAAGAACAGAACAAAACTCTTCCAGTCACCATGGCCTAAAAGGGCCCACGCTACAGAACTAATTTGACTGTGATCAAGTTAATACTGACCAAAGGAGACAAAACTGGCTCGAATAGAAAAGAGGATCTGGGTTGAGGCTGGGAAGGTCTGGCAGCTCTAAATCCTGAATGAGCCAGGGTTGGCATGGTCCTCCCAATGCCCTAGACCTACAGAACATCTAGGCTGGCGAGATCTGACCCTGGGCTGAGGTCGAGAGGGCATCAAAGGAGACTAAGAGTCTCTGGGTCTTGCCTTCTGTCATGTGATTCCCTGAGTCCACCAGAAAACGGAAGCTGAGAGGAGGAGCTGTGTGCCACTGCAGGGCTCCCTCCCAGAGGCCACACAAGCTGCCCCATCCCCTA